AGGATCTGTGTCCTGGGGAAGACTGACACAGAAAGAGGGGATGGTGTGGGGTCTTCTGGAGACCACTTTGAGCCATGGATTCCTTGAGTTTCATTTGGAAATTTTATATTCTTGAAATATGAACAAATAAATATATAGCCTGAAACAAACAACAAATCAAAATTTATGAAAATGATGCATAAAGTATCTACATAACTTTGCTCTCTTTGTATTTATTTCAGGATCCAGTGGGGATGTTGTGATGACTCAGTCTCCACTCTCCCTGCCCGTCACCCCTGGACAGCCGGCTTCCATCTCCTGCAGGTCTAGTCAAAGCCTTGTACACAGTAATGGAAACACCTACTTGAGTTGGTTACAGCAGAAGCCAGGCCAACCTCCAAGGCTCCTAATTTATAAGGTTTCTAACCGGGACTCTGGGGTCCCAGACAGATTCAGCGGCAGTGGGGCAGGGACAGATTTCACACTGAAAATCAGCAGAGTGGAGGCTGAGGATGTTGGCGTTTATTACTGCGTGCAAGTTACACACTCTCCTCCCACAGTGGTACAGCCCTGAACAAAAACCTCCCTATGGGGTGGCCCAGCTGCCCACATGTGGTGCTTGACTGGGGAGCAGCTCAGCAGGGTCTCAGAATCTGTGTAAGAGGAAGATGCTGGAGAAGCAGGGGACAATTCACAGCTGAGGACTCTGGACTTTGAGAGCCCAGCCACACCGCAGGCACCACTCCTTTATGCCCTGGCAGTTGCCACAACCTTTACAGTCATAAGCAGCAGGAGAATGAGGGGTCCAGGTGCCCTGGGAGTAAACAAGCAAGATGGAAGGGAGAGGAGAATGAAAACTCACCCTAACGCTCCCTGCCTTGTGAACATGTGCCAATTAAATGTAATCAGCAGAGCAGACAGACCATTGACACAGATTGTCACTATCCATGTTGGATACATCTTCGGGTTTAGCAGTTGAGGACATTTGATAATATTTAATATTGGTATTTTGCCAGTTCTCTAACTTTCTGCTTCCCCTATTCTCCCACTCCCAAAAGGCAGTAGAGACAACAATCTATACTAGTGACCATAAGGGGAAGCTGGCTGAGGACAGTCAGTAAAAACCTTGATTTTGGAGTATCAAATAGATTTTTGTAAATTCATAGAAGATACAAGATCCTAATGCTAAAACTGTTTAATTAGCCTTAGTTACCTTTTAATGATAGAAAAAATGAGTCCCTGAAATTCCAAAAGTTCTTTTCAAAAATAAAAAGCATATTCTGGAAAATGTAGAATATGTAATTTTTCCCATAGAAAACTGGAAAAGTACAGAATGATGTGAACATTTTTACTTCAAAATGTTAAGAATTTCAGACTGGGCAGACTGCAGGGATGAAAGCATGAAGGAAACATAGGAGAGGTCAGCTTCAGTTAAACTGCCCTTGGCCTTTGGTAGGTAGGGATGTGGATGGTGGTGGAGTTGGCAGTTCATGATGTGGACCCAGGAGGCCTGATATGTGGACCCAGGAGGCCTGATACGTTTCTTGTGAAGAATCCCAGAGTTGAAGGCACCACTACCTGGCTTCCTGGGTGGAGCCTGCATCACTGTGAATTTCCTGGGAAAATAGTGCTTTGGGAAGCGTTTTAGATCTGTAACCACCAAAGGCTTACTGAAATCTCTGTGGAAAGAGACCTGAGGTCAAGTTGCTCATATCTTATCAACCCAACACAGCCAAACAGAGCATCTGAAACTCATTCTGCCCCTAGAGACTGCCGGTTGGGTCTGGAGATGTCACAAGCACTGACATGCTATGCAGAAGGCCCAGCAGGATCTACACCAGCAGGGGGCGGGCAGTGGGGGTGGAGACCGGTGTCCATGACTCAGACATGTATTCGGGATGCTCTGTGCAGCCTTGGGGATTGGGGGAGCACATTGTATCTGTGGGAGTTTTATGTCCTTCTAACCCAGCACCTCCATCCCTGGCTGCTGACTGAGACCTCA